ACACAGATGATGGGTAGGTGGGGGACAGGTGGGGAAGAGATCGTTCTGCCCAGCCACCTGCTTCCGTGCAGGTTCTCTTCTCCGTAGGGAAGAACATTCTCTGAATTGGGAAGAGGAGGACAACATGGGGCGCGCGGCCTTGGGTGCCCTTCTGCGTCGCCCCTTCAACCATCGCGTTCAGCACGCATGCACCACGATCGCGAATCCTCAACCCGGGCGGGGCGCCCTGCCGCCCTCCTCCTCCCTCTCGCCCCCGGGCTCTCCGCTCAGCTCTCGGTTCCGCCTCATCAATGCGCAGGCGCAGGACTGGCTGGAGCTGGCTAACGCGCCCTCTCGTGGCGAACTGACGAGTCGCACCCTTTGTTGCGCTGGGGGCGACGAAGAGGATGGGGGAGAAAGATGTGGGTGGAGCCTGGGAAGCAGATGCGAGAATCAGATCACAGTGACGAAAATGCCTTTCCTTTGTCCCTCACCACCACGTATAATCCCCTGTTTTAGATGCAGATAAAGAAAATATGGCCCTCAAAGATCAAGAGACTTAGAGAGACAGGCTCATGGATCCTGGAGTGGGATGAGAGAGTTGGGGATATCGCGCATGCATTCATTCATGCAGGATTCCTTGGGAGGGAAGAGACAGGGTAGGAAGCTGGGGAGATGGACGCGGATGGCAAAGAAGACAGAAAACCAGCTAGGCCAGGGCAGGACTGGGGTCGCAGTAGTGAAGGAGAGGCGAGGGAAGCTCTGACTGAGCCTGCAGAGACAAGGCTGAGAAACACATAGGCACTTCTGTATGGTCCCTCCCCTCCTGGCCGGATGCTCCCACTGGTGAGGAGAGCTAATCCGAGAGCTAAAGACCTGCAAAGTGGACACCAGGAGGGACACTAGTCGCAATGGGTTAAAGCAAATATATTTAAACCATAAATTCACAATTAAACTAATAGTGAAAAGAAAGCTAATTAGTCACAGTTTGGAGGATGCTAGGAAATCAGCCTACTATTTTGAAACTGGTCAATACAGGAAACAAACCAAGCATTTACCCTGTTGTTGTTGTTTTTTTTTTTTTTTTTTTTTTCTATATGAACTGTGCCATTCAGGTAACCAAATCATGAGTGAAGGGCAGTATCATGATGATGATGATGATTAATTTAAGTACCCATGGGCACTCTACCACTGAGCTATATCCCCAACCCTTTTTATTTTTTTATTTTGAGATAGGGTCTCACTAAATTGCTGAGGCCGACCTCGAACTTGAGACCCTCCTGCCTCAGTCTTCCTAGTTGCTGGGATTGTAGGTGTGTGCCACCACACCTGGCCCAGTTTCTCTACTTAGAAGTATTCCAGCTAGTAAAATAAAGATCAAATTTTAATATCATTTTCCAAGGAGGAGGAAAAAACATCTAAACTAAAAAAACTGATGGTGCATGATCTGCCTCCAGATGGAAGACACTTGCAGCACCTATAAAGTGGTTCTGCAAAAGAAAATTGAACCTAAATCTGATCAGGCCTCTGGATCCAACTACAATGTACAGGAAATACCATTTACAGAAAGTGCAGAGGTCAGAGGAACATGTTAAAGAACACCAGAGAGATGCAATCAGCAAAATCAGAAAACTGCAGAAGAGCTGACTCTTTCAAGGAAGGAGAGAGTGGTAGGGAAAGGAAGGAAGGAAGATGGAGGGAAGGAAGAAGAGAAGCCAGGAGGAAGGAGGAGGGAGGGTGGAGAAGAGAAAGAGATGGACAAGGAACTTATGGATTAGAGGGGTTTTTGTTTTTGAGTATGTATGTATTTATTTATTTTGGTGGTACTGGGGATTGAATCCAGGGCCTCACTCATGCCAGGAATTTGGAGATACTTAAAAGAGACTATCAATCAGTTGTATGTCCATCTTATTTAGGTTCTATTTCAAACAAATACATTGTAAAAAAAAAAAAAAAAGAAGAAGAACTTAGCTGGGTCCCTAGGCATGTGCCCTTAGTCCCAGCTACGTAGGAGGCTGAGGTAGGAGGATGGCTTGAGCCCAAGARTTTGAGACCAGCCTGGGCCACATAGTGAGACCTTATCTCTTGAAAACAAACACATGAAATTTGTATGAAATTGAACATTAAAAGTTTGATATTAAGGGATTGTTGATTATATTAATAATTGATTATGTTTTGTGATTATGTTAAAAGGAGCCACTATCTTTTACAGGTATGTACTGGAACACTGACAGATGAAATCTGGTGGGAGAGGGCAATCGGAAGGAGCACAGATGACAGTAGATTGGCCACAAGTCGATAAATACATAGACACTATTATATTATTCTGTATACTTCTTTTTGGGGGGAGGTACTAAGGGTGGAACTCAGGGGCACTCGACCACTGAGTCACATCCACAGCCCTATTTTGTTTTTGTTTTTTGTTTTTTTTAAAGAGAGAGTGAGAGAGGAGAGAGAGAGAGAGAGAGAAATTTTTAATATTTATTTTTTAGTTCTCGGCGGACACAACATCTTTGTTGGTATGTGGTGCTGAGGATCGAACCCGGGCCGCACGCATGCCAGGCKAGCGCGCTACCGCTTGAGCCACATCCCCAGCCCCACAGCCCTATTTTGTATTTTATTTAGAGACAGAGTCTCGCTGAGTTGCTTAGCATTTCACTTTTGTTCAGGCTGGCTTTGAACTTGCCATCCTCCTGTCTCAACCTCACAAGCCACTGGGATTATAGGCTTCCACCACCCACGCCCAGCTCTGAATACTTTTTAAAAACTTCCCAAATAAGAAGTTTAAAGACCCTATGACTTCGCCCATCCCAGCCCTAGGCTTCAACAGAAAGTGCTATGTGTTACAGCAGCAAGTTGGGATTCAGGCAGCTCTGAGGGTAGGGAATCCATCTGGTAATCTAGGGGACTGAGGAGGCTTCCTAGTTACTTCTAGCTGGCTCCGGAACAGTCTCTGGCTCTTCTGAAAGAGGGCAGTCTTGGGGAGGATCAGAGGGGAGTTGGCTACAGCTTTTCCATTGAGGTAGGGTGACCTCCTCGGGTCTGGTGACCCTGGGTGCAGGCACAGCTGAGGGTGTGAGTGTGTGGCTCCAAAAATAGCAGGGGAGGCAGCAGGGGGCAGGGAGGAAAGTCACATGGGGAAGCTCAGGGGCTGAGGCTTGGGCAGCTGCCCAGCTCAGGCACCTCCGCCTGCCCCAATGGCCCTCTGCCTCCAGAATGGCTCTTCCTCTCTGCCTTCATCTTTGAGAAGTCAGAGAGATGCCAAGGTGATTCAGGGACAAACACCTGCCTGAGATCCACAGCGGTTGCTGACTCTGGAATTTGGTAGCTCTCCAGAGACAGGTGAGGTGGTCAGGTGGAAAGGGAGAGGACAAAGATGAAGCAACCTACCTGCTAGTCCACACGCCAAGCCCATTTGCAGGCCCACACCTGGAGGCCCAATCCAGGGCAAATCCAGACGTCCTTGCCCGGGTTGCTAGGTTGTGGGGTGAAGTGGGAAGCCCCTTTCACTTTGAGGCCTGCAGGCTTGCTTACCCAGAGACCAAGGACAGTGGAACACTGGCAGCCCTGGGGTCCTGCCTCCCTCTCCAGCACCTGGAGAGGGGGCCCCTCAGCCTTCTCTGAATGCAAGGCTTTGGGAGAGAAGAGCCCCCTGGACCAAGGTCCTTTGGCAGATACAGGAGGAAGGAAGCATGCCCTGCCAGCAAGTACCTCAGTGGCTGCTTTGATGGAGCTGGGCACTGGGCTAAGTACCTACCATGCATTCAACTCATCAGCAGCATGACTTGGGAAGTCATACAGTCCTGTGCCTTAGTGTTACCATCTATAAAGTGGAGACAATAGTAATGCTGCCTCACAGAACCACCATGGTATGCAACAAGCAGGGTAATAGGTGTAAACCTATGTGAGCCCTCTAGCACAGGGCAGGCAGTTCAGCTCTCCTGACTTTGTGTGCAAGTGTCACACAGCCTGGACTTTGCTCAGCTCTGCCTCCTCGGCAGCTGGTACCTGGTAGACCCAGTGTCACAGATGTGCTACAAACATGATCATGCAAAAGTTCCACAATGACGSTGAGAGGTGAGCACTATTCATGCAGGCTTGTACTTGTGGACAGAGGCCTAAGAGGGCAAGTGACTCACTCAAGGCCACATCTTGGGGAGCCTCAAGGTGGGGCATATGCCCAGGCAAGCATGCCTCCAAGCCCATTCAGGTAGCCCCAGCTGCATGAACCACAGAGGGCACCTCCTGTGCTCAGAGACAGGCTCCATGCAAGGCTTGCTCCTCCCAGACCTCCACACAGGGGATGCTTGGCCAGGAAACCAGCACAGGGTGAACAGACACTTCCATTTGCTGTTCAGGAAGCTGTCACCCTGTCCCTTACACATACCTGTGTCAGGTTAGGGATAGGAAAGTACAGTGATCATAGTCCCCTAGGAGCCCAGAGCACCCATATCACCCCAGCTGTGACCTTGGATTGGACACAGGGATGCACACAGGAGCTAAGGGGAACCTTGCCTCAGAGAGGAGGGAACTCGTGCATTGAGCCAAAGTTGGCTGGTTTGGATGGTGAGGTGGAGGGAGGGAGGGAATATCAGGCAGAGGAAAGGGCTTATCAGCTAGGGAGAGGCAGAGTGAGGCTGGAGGAGCCTGTGTGCTTGCGTGTGCGTGTGCGTGTGCGTGTGCGTGTGTGTGTGTGTGTGTGTGTGTCTGTCTGTCTGTCTATAGTGTAGTGGAGAGATTTAGGCAGGATGGACCTGAAAGCCACCAGGAACTCAAGAACTCAAGAACAGGATTTTAGAAGATCCCAAGTAGGCAGGTGGGTGGTTTAGAAAACTCTGTGGCCACAAGGAGGAGACGACTGACTGGAGGGACACTGTGAGGAGGGTGTCCACCCTAGATTCAGTGCCTGCTCTAGGTGGCAATGGGGAGGGCCCCCGTGGCTGAGGCTGGGACCCAGCTGCTCTGGGCCACCTCCCTTCGTCCCTCCCTCCTCCCTCCCTCTTTCCCTCTCTCCCTCCCTCCTCTTCTCCCTGCCCCTGTCTCTGTCACTCACAGGGGCCGGCCAGGCTGGAGCAGCCATGGTAGCAGCACTAATCTGGATTCCTCTCCTTGTGGGCAAGTTGGGGACTTTCTCAGGGGGAGGCCCAGGATGAAGGGTGGGTTTTCTGATGATGAGATGGAAGAATGGGGGTCCTTAGGGGAGGGATCTGTGGAGGGCAAGGTAGGGCCTGAAAGGCTCTGGGGTGCTGGCATCAAGGCAGGCCAGGATCCAGGGGCTGGGAGCTGGCTCTGGGGGGTAGGGCCTGGGAGGTCTGARGCCTGAAGGTGTCCCAGGGCTGAGGTGGGCCTGAGTGCAGAGGCCGTAGGGTCATGCATGGGCCCTTTAATGGGCTGGCTGGGCTACGACTTCTTCCAGGCCCAGGCTAAATTTGGCCCTAAGAGGGAGGGTGGGGCCGCGGAGGCCTGTCCTCTTTGCTACATTTCCCATGGCCTCTAGTGTAGGCCCTGGTCTTCTGTGGATATTAGGGAAGGCAGGTGGGGGTTCGGGGTTCCAGATGGCTCCTTTGAAGGCTCCTTCAGCCCACTGTCCCCACCAGTCTCCTAGACATTCAGCCTGGGGTTCATTTCCAAGTGTCATTAACAGATCCACCCCACACACCCCTCCCAGTCAAACACTAGTCCCTGCCCACTGCGACCCCAACAGGGGCCTCGATTGTCAATCCAACACGTCTTCCTTTGCTCAGAGGCAGCAGAGGCAGGGGCTTGGTGGGGAATGGAGCTTATGCTCTGACAGGACTGAGGCCATCTGTGTGTTTGGGGTTTGTGGGGTGCCTCAGGTCTCCTGGCAGGACTGGGGGGCACCGAGGCCCAGCAGACCACACTTCACCCRCTGGTGGGTCGTGTCTTTGTGCACACACTGGATCACGCCACCTTCCTTCGTCTTCCGGAGCACATYGGTGAGAGGGGCCTGGTGGGCACCTGACGGGCTGGGGGGTGCCTGGCCCTGGGCTCTGGTCAGGCATCCAATCCCCTCTTCCTTCCTCCACCAGCTGTCCCGCCCACCGTCCGCATCACCTACCACGCCCACCTGCAGGGACACCCAGATCTGCCCCGCTGGCTCCGCTACACCCAGCGCAGCCCCTACAACCCTGGCTTCCTCTATGGTACCGCCACCCCAGAAGATCGTGGGCGCCAGGTCATCGAGGTGCCAGCAGGGACCCCCAGAACCTCCCGGGGGGGCGGGTCACCTTGGCCTCCTAGGGGCAGCCTTACCCACGGGAGTTGAGTGTTCCTTCACGGTCATTGACATAGAATTTCTATTACCTCTAACTGAGTTTCCTTATCAGTCCTCTCTGCCAGGCCCAGCTGTGCCACGGTCCCCGATTAACCCCACATCTMCCCCCCAGGTCACAGCCTACAACCGGGACAGCTTTGATACCACTCGTCAGAGCCTGGTGCTGCTGATTGGGGACCCGGAAGGTAGGGTCAGCTTCCCAGCTAATGCCAGTCTTGAGGAACCTCCTGGGAGGAGTGGTGGTTGTGGAAGGGAGAGGCTTGGACAGTAGGAGAGAGTGGGGGGCCAGGGAGGATGTGACATTGGTAGCTTTCAGGGAATGAGTGTTGGCTGGGGGTCCAGTCTCAGGCGGTGCTATTGTCCACTCTGCCCACAGACRGTGAGGCTGGGTGAGTCATTGAGGCCACGGGGCAGTGAGTCACGGGGCAGCGCGTTTGGCACTTGTGAGGTTCAGGGTGCTGGGGGCAGGAAGGCGTGTGTGGGGATGTGGGAAGGAGCTTAGGGGAGGCTTGGGAAAGATCGGGGGGTGCAGAACGGGGGCTAGGGCAGCCTAAAGTGTTCACCTGGCTTCCCAGGCCCCCGGCTGCCTTACCAAGCTGAGTTCCTGGTGCGCAACCATGACGTGGAGGAGGTGCTGCCCTCGACGCCTGCCCACCGCTTCCTCACGGCCTTGGCGGGGCTCTGGGAGCCCGGGGAGCTGCAGCTGCTCAACATCACTTCTGCCTTAGACCGTGGGGGCCGTGTCCCTCTTCCCATTGAGGGCCGGAAGGAAGGGTCAGTGTGCAGTCCAGCAGGGCTTCCTAAAGGACAGGCTGTCCACTTGGGATCAGGGTGATGGGCATGAAGCAGGGACTCCCCCTAATTTCCAGATAGGGCTTTGTCCCCACTACCCATCCTCGCCATGTCCGTCCATCTCCTCCTGGAGTCACACGGCCATCCACTCCCCTCCAGTCAACCCTTGCTTCCTTCTTGTCCTTCGTGGGCCTAAACCCCAGCTACCCTGAATCCTGCACTTCCTGCAGGTCCACCCAAGAACATCCCTAGGGGAATAGAGTAGGGTGCTCTATGTCCTGTCACTTTTACCCCAGATCTCAGGGAGAGGAGGCTGGGACCTCTCCTGCTGGGCCCCAGCTGCACCATGCTTCTGCCCCACCCCCCATCCCATCCCCAGGTCCCAGCCTACAATCAGGTCAGCTTCAACACCCCCAGCAGAGTGGTGTCCAGGCGCCCCCCACCACCACTCTGCTGACTTTGGCTTTCACTTGTGCCCAGGGTGTATATCAAGGTGGGCTCTGCCTCACCCTTTTCTACCTGCCTGAAGATGGTTGCCTCCCCTGACAGCCACGCCCGCTGTGCCCAGGGCCAGCCTCCACTTCTCTCCTGCTACGACAACCTGGCACCTCACTTCCGTGTTGACTGGTGCAATGTGTCCCTGGTGAGGAGTGGGTCATTTATTTCTACTTTTATTCAGGTGGTTAAAACCAAGCTTCTGCTAAATCAAGAAGAGTTAGCTCCCTCTTCCTGGATTCTGCTGCATGCCAACTCTGTGCCAGGTGTCTTACACTGTCTCTCCTCTTAGACAAATGCAAACTATCCTGGAGTTATCACGCTCAAGACACAGAAGCTCGGTTGCTCATTAGCCTAGATGATAGCTTCTTAGGGATTTGAGTACCTATATGGATGAAAGAATAACCCCTTTGATTTGAGGTAAAGAGGAGATCTAGTGTAGAAAAACCAGGGGGCCTAAAGTGTTCACCAATTAACAAGGTTGCACAGGCCTTCCCAAATGTCTGTTAAGAAAGGTGCTCCATTAATCCCAATGATCCTGCACCCRGGTAAGCAGTGAACTAGCTCCAGGCCTGGGGGTGGGGCATGGTCCCCTTAAGTTTCTCCCTCCATTCCTGCTGCTTCTCACTCCAGCCTTTCTGACTTCTCCAGTCCCGTGTGTATTGTGTATCCCTGGTTTCAGTCTCAACTTTAGTTTGTGCTCTGTCTTGTTCACACCACACACACACACACACACACACACACACACACACACACACACACACCCTGAAGTTCTACCTTCTGCCACAAGAGGGCGACAGAGTCTACGATCCACATCTGGAGTCTCCAGCTCCTAGTGTCCAGATCTGCCCAGCCCAAAAGCTAAATCCAGTAATGACTCCCCACAGGGCAGTCCCCAAAACCTTTGCACACTGAGAGCTTCTGTGTGACAGCTTTGTCTGCTTCCCTCTGAGGTGCCCCTTTGCATACACATCTGCAACAGAAGCAGAGAGTTTCCAAGTAATAAACCAGGGAGGCTTACTACAGTGCTTTGGCATGTTAAGGGTCCCTAGAGATGCCAATCCAGGCTAGAAACYGCTGGTGCTCTCTGTTCCTGGGAGTGGACCAATAGACAGGGACTCATTCATGGTCCCACAATCAGGGACTTGTCATTGATGACATCTGAGCACTCAGTATGTGCTGGGCATTGTACACTAAGCATGATTCAGCTTGTTACCCCGGGAGGCAGGTACCCTGTGATCACTCTGAGTTTACAGATGAGGAAACCCAGGCACAGAGGCAAACCTCCCCAGTGAACCACTAGACTGAGTCAGGATTCAAACCCAGGCAGTCAGACCCTAGAACTGGACGCTAACCATTGTATAATCCTACTTCTCCTAGCATTGGCCTCTCGTCTCCTGGTCAAGTGCTTGTCCTGCTAGTCACATGAGCTAGGAGCAGCAGGCTGGAAGAATCCTTGTGGTTGCATAGGGGCATAGAGTAGAGCCCTGGAACCTCTGATCTGACCCCTGGAGGTCGCTGTGTCCAGCCAGCAGCTCCTGGGTTAGCCGTGGGCTCTCTGTGCAGGTGGATAAGTCAGTGCCAGAGCCGGTAGATGAGGTGACCACCCCAGGCGACGGAATTCTGGAGCATGACCCATTCTTCTGTCCACCGACGGAGGCCACAGCCCAAGACTTCCTGGCAGATTTCCTGGTCACTCTCCTGCTGCCTTTGCTGGTGGCCCTTCTGCTTACCTTGCTGCTGGCCTATGTCATGTGTTGCCGGCGAGAAGGACGGTGAGTGTGGGGAAAAATGGAGGGCAGGGTGGCTCTCACATCCAAGGGGCCCCTGTGGCCCTTGAGCTGTGTGGGACCCTCTCAAAGAGTGAGGTTCTGAGCTAGAGGAAGAGTGAGGGGCCCCTTTCTGGGCAGCTGGGACTCTAGGCCTGCCTAGCCTGGGACCAGATTATGATGAACACCCACATTGCAGCCCTGGGGACACCAGGGGTGAGCTCAGAGCAGGACTAACCCTCTGCCTTACTCTTCCACAGATTGAAGAGAGACCTGGCCACCTCTGAGTAAGTAGGAGAAAGCTGGGGGCTGGGTGGGAACCCCCCTTGACTGTCCCATTGGGCTCCCCAACCTCCATAAGCAACAGAGACAAACTAGATTACTCTTGAGATGGAGGGAGCTGCCCTTGACCTTGGAGCCCTGGCCCCAGGCTGAGTGGGTGCTGGGCCTGATCTTGCATTATTTCTGGTCATAGAAGAGTCTGCTGTAACAAAGGGCAGGGGGACCTGTTACTGTCCTGGGGAAAGTGCTTGAGCAGCTCTCAGGTGGRCGCGCATGCATGTGTGCACACACGCGTGCAAACACACTCTCCAGGCTGCGCTCTGCTACACAATCACTCCATTAGTCTTTCTAGCCTCAGATTCTCCCCGTGCAAGGGCCTAGGTGCAACGGTGACAGCTATGGACGCTTTCGGTTCTGCCTGTCCTTCCCCTATCCATCTCACTTATTTTGTCCCTGGTCCCCCTACACAGCCTTGCCCCTCCTTCCCAAACCCCAGCCCTCTTCCCCTCTTGCTCCCTGAGCCCCAGAGAGTCCAGGAGGCCAGAGAGGAGTAAGTTGGGATTCCTTTTTATTCTCACTGCCCTGAGCCTGTGGCACCGGGCACTCCTGCCTGCTTGGCTGGCCTGCTCTGTTAATGGCGGCGGCATTTGGCCACCCTGCGAACCCCTTTGAAAAGCCGCTTGTGGCCCTGTTTGGAGCCCAGTAGCGACCTGCGCTGCCCAGACCGGCGCTGCCCAGATCCGCGGTGYCCCGGCCGCCGCCGCTGCCGTCCCTTGGCCTTAAGCTTGGAGGCCCGCTTCTTGCCCAGGCGGAAGGAGCCCGAGGTTCCCCTGCCGGTCACCCGCTGGAGCATGCCGTTGTCCACCAGCTTCTTGAGCACACGCTTGAAACGCCAGATGTTGTGGGCCATGTTGTAGCCGTTGTTGGTGACAGCCTTCTTCAGAGCCGCCAGGGATACGCGGTGGCGTGTCCCCTTTTCTGCCATAGCCCTCATGATCACCTTGGACATGCTGAGCTTCCGGTGGGCTTTGGGGGAGGTGCAGTGTGCGTTCTCACTCTTGTTAGGGGCTCCTGATGCGCTGGCCTGCCGGCCTCCACCCATGGCAGCGTTTGAGGCCAAGGGTAMGGATGGGGACTGCAGCAAGGTGTCTTTCTGCATCTCTCCCTGGGATGGCTGAAGGGAGCTAGGTGCAGGGACCTCCAGGGTGGCGGCTGGAAGTCTCCACTGTGCCGCTCTCGATGGTGGACGAGCTGCGTCCTGGCTCCTGTTCTCTTCAGAGGCTTTCTTGAAGGGCTTTGGCCTCGCCTTGCCCTGGGGGGCTAGAAGGAGGACCAAGGATGATCACCCACAGTGGGCCTCAGCAGTCTTGTGCTGTGGGGTCAGGGGGTGGTGGGTTTATCTCTGTGGTGACCTCAGGGAGGCATTGTGAGGCCACCAGAATCCTGCAGAGGTCACAGTGGTCCCATAGTTCCCTCCTGGGCAGAGCAGACAGGAGGGGAGTCTGAAGTGTGGGCATCTGACCTTCCAGGTGCCCGGTGAGGGAGAGCTGTGTCTTGTGGGGGCCACGTGGAAGGGTGCAGCCTGGGTGCACGCTTAGGTACCTGTGCCTGAGAGGACTGCAGGGTGTCCTCAGCCGTCAGCTTTAAACTACCGGCTTGATCTCACCATCTCTGCTCACTGGGTCTTTGTTCCTCTGAGTCGGGAGAATACAAACATTTAAACATCAGAATTATATCAACATAATTTTTATGGGGAAGGTGCTTTCCGGTGTAAGCAGAAATGAAATTCCTTGATCTATGTAAGTCGATTTTATTCCTCCAACAACTTTCTATGCCAAGCAGTCAAAGGGCTTTGCTTTATTTTCTGTGTTCATTGTTATTTTACAGACTCCCCCCCGACCCGGTAGTTGAGATCAATGATTTTCCATATACATTTCACAGAGAGGATTTCATTCCTCAGTTTTGGTGTCGGGGGTGGTGGTGGTGGTGGTGCCAAATTTGATCAATTGTCTCTGTTGTGATTTTGTCTTGTGACCAGTCTTTTCTTTGCTTTCTGCTTTGGGTCAGTTATGTAGCTTGGATATTGTCGGGGAAATCTGCTTCCCTGGTCAATCTGGAATCAATAACCAATTTTGCCAAGTGTGATATTAGCCTTTATCATCTTGGGTTTTGTGCTGATTTAGTTCCACAAAATTCCGTTTTTCTGCTTTGTTCGATGTCTGCCATTTTTCCAAATTATCCACAAATTGTGATTCTGCGGGCTATTTTCCACCTCTATCAGATTTAACTGGTAACAAACTCCTCCAGGCCCCAAAGACACTGTGCCGGACGCACAGCATACAGGGTCACATGTCAGCGGAGTGAGACCTCGGGCCATGTGTGTGAATGCCCTCTGTTCTAGCGCTGATGTGGAAGGCCTGGGATGGGGGGGAAAGGCACCGAGGGGCCTGGCATCTGCTTTGGCTCTAAGAAAATATCCCCAGAATGTTTTTCCACCCGTGTATTGCCAGAGTGAGGAGCCCCGATGTGGGGCTGAGGTGGGAGGGACCCACAGAGGCGTCCCTCCCTCCTAGGCGTCACTAGGTGGCTCTCTACCTCAGCACCCATACACACGTCTTGCTCTCTCCCCTCAGCCTCTCCTTGCTCAGGAATGGAAAATTGTGTTTTGGAGAACTCCATTTGCCAAATTCCAGACTTAAGAGCTCACCTTAACCTGCCCCTGGCCTGAGACAGCACTTCTTCCCCTGACTGGGTCCCACTCCCCCTGGGGACTGTGGCCCATTCTGGGTGAGGTGGCACACGTTTCTGTAACCTCTCAGGCTCTAACTGGGGTCCTCACTGAAACTAAGACAGGCCTGGGGATGATTTTCCCTCCCCCACCTGATCAGTAACTCGGTGGCAAGTGGCATCGATTCAGCCTGCCCAGGACCCCAGCCACCCTTAAGAAAATCAATTCTTATTGTTTAGAATGAGAAGTCCCTGCTCTGACCCAGCAGGAAACCAGGTAGTCCGGGGAAATGTCACCACGCTGGGCCAACAAATATGGATGGGTTTGTGTAAAAAGGGCTTGGACACACCCCTGGGGCAAGTGTCCCATAATCATAGATACTGCTGGCTACAAGCCTGACCAGGGGATGGCCTGGGTGATTTTCCTGGATTAATGCATACAACTATATCGCAGATGAGGAAATAGAGGCACAGAGGGGTTGTCATGGGCCCAAGGTCACTTAGCAGTAAGCAGTGGAACCCAGGTTCCAAMCCAAAGCTGCTCCTCCTGTTTAACCGTGGTGCTACCCAGCTCGGCCCTGCAGCAGAAAGCAGGCAAGTGAGGGCATCAAATGAAAACAAGCCTGAGTCTTCTGAGGAGGACCTGAAGCTAGAGCTCAGGAAGGACTTCCCCCACAGGCGTGGTCATTCAGTGCTGCTGGGACTTCCAGAGGYTGAGGATGGAGCCTGAGGCTGGGCGTAAAGGAGCCTTGGTCTGAAACAGACAGGGACAAGGGCCGGTGATGGGGTAGGCTGAGCTGGGGCTGGGAGGGGGGTCAGGATATAAAGGGGGCAGAGAGCAGCCTGAGGAACCAAATGATGAGATGCCCGTGTCTCAGCAGGACATGGGGAAGGTGTTCCGGGAAGGGAGACAGGTTGGCGAAAGCTAGGAAGTGAGAGAAGGCCAGGGAGACGGTAGGTTTACCAGACGGACAAAGAGACAGGAGGGAAGGGAGACAGTTAGATGATCTGTGTTTGGAATGAGTACTGAGAGAAGGAGCTGAGTGCTTGAAGGCACCAGGAGTCATCAGAATACAAGAGCAGAATACAGTCAGGGCCCTAACTGGGAAGAACACACCTGCAATACCAGCAACTCAGGAGGCTGAGGCAGGAGGATTACAAATTTGAGGCTAGACTCAGCCATGTAACAAGGCCCTAAGCAACTTAGCAAGACTGTCTCAAAATAAAAAATAAAAAAGGGCTCAGAATGTAGTTCAGTGTCAGAGTTCCCCCAGGTTCAATTTCTAGTATGGAAAATAAAATAACAACATTAAAAAAAACCACTAAAAACCCAAAACAATATAAAGCCTAGAAAACACCGGCCTCTGCAAATATATATCCACTGTGGATGTATTTAAGCCTGTGTTTCATTATCTACCACTGAGACACAATCTCATTTAATCTTCAGAACAATTTAGAGGGTGGGCATTATTATCCCAGTTTACTGTTGGAGAACCTGAGACACAGTGTGGTTAAGCAACTTGCCAGGCACACACAGCTTTGAGCTCAGACTGTTGGCACCCAGAGCCTGTGCACCCATCACTGGGCACAAACAGACACCATGGAGTTTCCTGTTTGTTCCCTGATCCCACATGCTGTGTAAGCCCCCTTACCACCCCCCACCAAGAAGTAGTGGGGCAGCCTGCGGGGTGGCTCAGAGGCAGTGCCAGGCCCTGGGGGACTAACCCTGACAGTGACTCCTTGCCCTTGTCTCCAGCATCCAGATGGTCCACCATTACACCATCCACGGGAACACAGAGGAGCTGCGGCAGATGGCAGCCAGCCGAGAGGTGCCCCGGCCTCTCTCCACCCTGCCCATGTTCAACGTGCGCACGGGCCAGCGGCTGCCTCCCCGTGTGGACAGCGCCCAGGTGCCCCTCATCCTGGACCAGCACTGAGYGCCCTGTCAGGTAGGTCCAGCCGGGCAGCGCCAGCCTCGTTTCTGGAAACAAGATGGCCCCTGTCTCAAAGCCGGGGTGATGAGGTCAGGGGAAGGCAGGGCCCAGAGATCGGCCAGTTTGTGGCAGGGGGCGCTCAGCAGGGTCAAGGTTATACCTCCCGCTGCACTCAGGGTCAGAGGTCAAGGTGGGGAAGCAGGCAACCCGAACTGGGGTTTGGCTCTGTCTGTCCTCCTGTCTGTCTCCCCTGCTTCCAATTCCAGCCCTGACCTCAGACTCCCTTTTCTCTCCACTCAGAGAGCTGCAGACCCCTCCCACTGGCTGATTCTTGCTCCCGGCCCAGTTGGACCCCAGGCTCTGAACAAGCAGAGGGATGAGGTGGGGAGGGCTAAGGGTGTTTGGAGTCAGGACCCCCAGAATAAAATGCCTGCTGCCCTGCTCATCTGATGCTGCCAGCATGCTCTTCCCCACAGCCTCCTCCCAGCAGCCTCCTCCTAACAGCCTCCCACGGTCCTCACTGTCTACATTTCCCTTTTGACCTTCTGGGAGTCCCTGGAGGCTGCCAGCCAACTCTGGGCTCCTAGCATTTTGCTGTTTGCTCAGATTTTCAGGAAGTGGGAAGGATCTGCTATATGCAGCTCTCATAGGAACCTGACAGTGAGAGAATCCTGGATCATTACACCCGTTTTATAGATAAGAAAAGTGAGAACTATGGAGAGTAAGTGATTGACCCAAGGTCCCCAAGCAAGTGGCTGGAGGACTGAGGGGCTCGCCAAGCAGAAGATCTCGACCCTGACCTGGAAACTTAGTTAACACCTGTCACAGTCCTTTGGAGGGGGGGTCTCTTTGTAGGTTGTGTGGAGAGAGAAGCCAATCTAGAACTGGAGAGAGGTTAGGAGGCAGGACAGAATGCCCCAGGCTGGAGGGCTCCCCTCCTGGTGGCTCCTCCAGAGAAAGGACAAGAGAATCCGCACAGCTTAGAATACTGAGCTGAGTGCCACAGAGTGCCTTGTCCCCAGGAGCCCGGGAGAGCTCAGCTGGCTGTGCAGGGGCCCGAGGGTATTTTTCCAGGTGGCTACAACCAAAGTGGGCCAGCTCACTGCCATCTGTGCCTTCTCCAGTCTCAAGTTTTACCACTCCCATGTGAGGGCAGGTCTGAGATCAAACCGGAGAGGTGACCCAGATAAAGCAGAGGAGCAGGGACACATGGCTCAGGCTTCTCGAGGTGGCAAGGGCAAGAGAATCCAGCCAGGGTCTGGCACCCAGCACCCTGGCCCGCCTCACYCTTTCTCTGCTGGGGAACGCCAGCATTCCCTCACCCCAACACCTCCCTAAAGGCTGCCGTTCTGGTCTCTGCCCTAACGGYGTGTTCTCAAAGAGGCCTCCCAGTCTGCCTTTGGCCTTGGGACCCCCTCACAGTCCTCCTTGCTCTCTGAGAGATGCCCCGTGGGCTCCCTGCTTCGCTCTGTGGGTGCTCAATGAGTGCTTGCTGAGCGATGGCTCTAGGTGCCCCCTCTACCCACATGGGGGCACACACCRTGCCAGCTCTGTGCCTCTGCCAGCCTCAACGAATGCTTATGGACTCAGTGTTCAGTGCAYTCATTAACTAGCTGATGGCTGTGGGGCACTGGGGGTGGGGGCAGGAGAGGCTTTAGCAATAGGCTTGCTTAGCCCTTGGCCCAGAGAGGAGGAGCAGCCTCCTTAAGAACTAGGCGCAAACCCAGACAGACCAGGGCGCCTCTGCTTCTCCTGGGCCCATCATCTGATGGAGAGCTGGGGAGTTGCAGGGAATCTGCTCAGACCAGGGGCTTGGAGCAGCCAGCCTGCTGCCTGGGCTGGCTCCCTCCCGCCCTGGCCCCCTGAGGAGGGGGCTGCAGTCTCCCCAGTCCCGTCTGGCCCCAGCGGCAGGCAGACCTTGGGCCTCCTCTGTGCTCTTCCTGTGCTGGCCAGGGATGGGGGAATTCGAGGCCAGCTCCCCGCCCCCTGTTCCCGGCCCGGTCTTGGGGTCTTGGCAGCACCTTCCTCCCCGCTCAGCTCCAAGGAGCACACGGGAGTCTGGCCGCCTGCCTGAGAGGAAGTGGCCCAGACAAGTAGCCGGAGGATGGCGTGACTGCAGAGGACGAAGAGCCGTGCCCAGGCACACACACGCGACAGCCAGCTGCCCAGCGGCGCACGGGGAAGACTCAGTCACACTCAGTGCTGCGCTGCCAGCCCCTCCCAGAAGGGCAAGTGTCTACTGCAGTCACACCCCACTCCCCACAAACCCTGGCAGAGGGGCAGCTGCCCCCAAGCCCCACCTCCACCCCCAGACAGCCCCACACTCTGCTCCCCATCTCCAGTCCCACTGTTGGCTGGGCCTGACGACACGTGGCCTGACTCTCCACATTTCCTCAGCCCTTTCAATGGGCCAGACCTAGGGACACAGGGCCCCACCTACAGTAGGCCTCAGCCCCTGGAGGCACACTTCCCCTGAGCAGGACTGGATGGGGCTTTGAGTTCCCTCATGAAATAATCACCATACCTGCCTTGGGCTGTTGGGGGACTTCCTGAGGACAAGGCACTCTCGTGGCTCCCAGGAATGGGGACCTGATTACACACAAGCCCTCTGCAGTCTCTCCAAGGCCAGCTGTCCTTGAGGTCTCCCTGCCTCCCTTAAGACCCAGGCTAAATGGACTCCATGTCCACCTAGGCCTTCTGAAGAGTTCAGCTTCTCCCTGTGAGTTAGGGCGGACGCCTAAATTCGCACCCTCCTTGGTACAGAACTGCTATGTGGTGTGGCGCTGTCCTGCCCACTTGAAATGTGCCCGGTCCAAACTAAAGAGGTGCTGTTAAGTAGAGGGATGAAGTTATATTTGGGGAGATACTGGGCTCAATAAAAAACATTATTAAAATTAATGTTTCTTGTTTCTTTTTYTTCTTTTTATTTAATGTGGCCACTAGGAAATTAAAAAAAGACATGTGTGGCTCACATTCTATTTTTAGGGGGAGGTACAGGTTCCATGACTCCATGTACTTTATCTCTGCTCCAGATCGACTCTGGCTCAGAACTCAGTCCCTTCCATGCTTTCTACTGAACCTGCTCACTCAGCCCTCCTGCTTGCATCTGGGGAACCCTGGTGGGGAGTGAAAGAGTTTGTTCCACAGAAATGAGTCCCCTAGAACTTGGATGTTAGCCTCCTTGCTCTAGAATGTGCTTGGGTCCTGACAAGGGCCTTGGTCGTCCTCCTTTTTTTTTTATAATTTTTTACGTTGTGGATGGACACAGTGCCTTTATTTAATTACTTAATTAATTTATTTTTATGCGGTGCTGAGGCTGGAGCCCAGTGCCTCACCCGTGCTAGACAAGGGCACTCACTACCACTGAGCCCCAACCCCCGCTCACCATTGTCCCCTTCCTTGCTTCTCTGCCCTTCTCTTTCAGCAGCTCTTCTTCTGGGTCCCTCATTGTCCCATGCGAGGAGAATACCAATTTTGCCTGCACCCGTGGGTATCAAACTCATCTCCTCCCCGGCTTGGTCTCGCACAGCCTCTGCTCAGTGTTGAAATTTCCAAGGGTCTAAGGATCTGTCACCCTCCCAGACAAAGGCCAGCCCTCTTCCCGGGTCTTGTCTCTTGGGCCATCCACATGCCACCCAGCCCAACTTGGTAACTTCCAGAGCACACACCCCSAGAGAGGGCCACAGAGACACAGCTTCTCACTAGCACCAGGGCTCCCACTGGCTCTGGGACTTCAGGTGACAGTCTGTCCCCACACTCACCCTCTCCTCGTCTCCCCACACCCTCCCTACTCATATCTGGTCCATCCTCCTTCACACAGGCAGACCCTCCTCTGCCTATGGACACATATGTCCCAAATGCTATGACCCATGCCTTCCACAGCTCACATGGCATCTCCTCCACTGCCCCACATGTGACAAAGCTGCCCTCATTGTGTACAGACTCCCCCCCCCCCCGCCCCGCCCCGCACACCTCTCCATCGCACACCCCTCCACACATGTGCGCGACCTCATGCCATGGATAGGACACCCGTGGGTGGGCAGAGCAAGGCACATTCCCATTCATGGGCACCTACCAGGAGACCCAAGTACGGACCCCCAGAGGCACCTGCCTCACCTCCTCACATCATTGCTCAGGCCTCCCCAAGTGGGTGTTGGTTTTGTGAACAGCCCCCACCCCCATGCCAAGGCTTCCACACTCCAGCGAGTCAGCCCTCCCCCCCGCCCCTCCTCCCCGCCACCAGCTCCAATGTCTAGGAAAGTCAGAGGACCTGGAAAACTGAGGGGTGAGATGCTGGGGGAAAAAAAGAGGGAAAACCCACCAGATTCCGGATATAGAAAATCCTGCCAGGAGATGGATGGGATCAGGCCTCCGAAGGGACCCAGGGTTCCAGGACAGTGGTGAAAATTAAAAATTCAAGTGAAGGCTCCTCTTTTTCTAGAGTTTTCTTTCCATCTGGATTTGACTTGAAAAGTTAGCCATAGGAACTTAAATCTTCTTGCTGACAGAGAGGACCAAGGCAAATCCTGAGGAGCAGAGCTGAGAGCAGCAGGCACCATGCCACCACGCAGGACACAGTGAGGGTCCCCGGACAGGGTCTGGCAGCTGTATTTAGGGCAGCTGTGATGTCAGCGGAAAGGAGGGCTTGAGTTGGCAGTGTGGTACAATGGCTCCATTGTCCCCCTCCCCTCCTGTCCTGAACACACACTGAAACCACACACCATCCCCACACCACGTGACACAGACCCGAGGTCACAAGGTGGGGCCTGCCACCTCGACAGCCCACAGATGGGTACACCCAGGTACACACACGCAATAMCACATCCACAAGCAGATTTTCAGGCATGTAGGTGGGAGGCAGGGTCACTCTCTCAGAGCTATGCTGCCTGAGACAGTAGCCACCCACCCACAGAGTTCTTAAATTAATGACAGTTAATAAAAGTAAGAATTGCATCCCTCAGTCACTAGTCACATTTCAAATGCTTGGTAGCCCAGGGGTTCACGGCTACTCTATGGCACTGCCCAGGTAGAGGACCCGTCCGTCATTGCCTTCTGCTCCCCTGCCCCAGGTGGTTTTCACTGTTCTTTCTCACACTTAGCACACCTGCACACAGGTAAGGGGCGCCTCTCTCACATTCTTTTTTTTTTTTTTTTTGGTGGTGCTGGGGATTGAACCCAGGGCCTTGTGCATGTAAGGCTAGCACTCTACCCACTGAGCTACATCCCCAGCCTCTCTCACATTCTTACTATTCCTTCTCCCTAGTATCTACAGACTGTGCACAGGGACTGGCCTCTGGCCTGGGGAGAACAGGGTGGGATGTGGTGACATGGACGTGGAAGAAGCCTCTGTGAGCTCAGAGGGCCAGTCTCAGCCTGGGGTGGACAGGGGAATGAGCAGGGGCAATGGGATATTTGAACCTGGTGTGGAGYAAACAGAGAGAAGGAGCATCATGTCAGGCAAAGAAAAGCCATAAAGCGGGTAGTGGGTGCATATGTGGGAATCGTGACCACCCTTTCTGGCTTGAGTGACAGATGTGGGCTGGGGAGGGGACAGTGAGCCTGAACAGGTGGGTACTGGCCAAGTAGAGGCTTGGATGTTGAGCTCAGGAAGCTTTCAGATCCCCATGGGTCCAGATGGGGTTGGGGCCTGAACAGCAAGAGTCGTGGGCACCAAAGGTTCAGCTAGGAGGGGGTTGCCTGGGCAGCGTGTCAAGCAGACCCACATCACCAAGCAAATGCATCSATAAACTGATCAACAGGACCCATGYACCTCTGGACAAGGGCCGTATTTTTAATTTCGTTTTTATACTGTTCTACTATAGTAGAGGTGCTAATGATGAATTATTAAAGGCCATCATTAATGGCCATGAATACTCAATGACAGACACAGTATTGGCATTGCCWATGGATGGCCTCTGAGGACTTGTGCCTCTCTCCATAGACCTGAGGGAGGTGCACAGGTCAGCCTTCTTTTTCCTTTGAGTTTTGGGCTCTGGAATGTTGGACGGGGGTGGGGGCAGCTGTCATCTCCCTGTCTCCCCACCTCTGGACGCCCTGTTTGCTGCAGGTTTCCGACTCTCTGGATTCTCTGCTCCCCACTGATCACACACCACTGTCCCTATTCCCTGAGATGCGGGAGCTGGCCGGCCACCTTCCCTTCAGGTTGTAAGGCAAGGGCAGCCAGGGGCAGGCAGAGGTGAAGGAAAAGAGAAGGGAGGAGAAGGAGGAAGAGAAAGCAAGAATTTGGGGAAAGCAGAGAGAGAGAGAGAGAGAGAGAGAGAGAGAGAGAGAGAATATGAAGAAAAGGGTCAGAGGCAGGCCCGGGCACCTCCACAGGCTGCCGGCTCCCTGCCATCTTGCACTCTGGGCACACAGAAAACCAAGAGGGCCCTACACTGTCCTGGGGGTAACACCTGCAGGAGTCTTAACTGACACTCTCCAAGACCCCCAGGAGACTCTTGAGATAGTTCCCGAGAGCAAGCAAGTGCCTTCCTTTCCCGCTGTCCCTCCCAGGTGTCCTAGCAGGCTCGGCAGACCCCTTCCCGTGCTGAACTGCTGGCTCCTTGGCGTGAAGAGGGGGTAGAGGCCAGATGTCCCTTTTGTGTTTGTCCAGGGAAAGGGTGTGCAGAGGGGCTCCCAGGTCCCCCTCAGCAGTCCCATGTCTCTCCCGCTCCCAGAACCCACAGGCAGCACCTCTTCCAGCCCAGCCCTGCAGCCCGCCCACAGCGTAGAAATCTGATGGGTGTTCATGGGAGTGTGGGCATGAGGCCAGGCGACCCAGGATCTGAAGGGGCGTGTGCTTGTGTGTGTGTGTGCACGTGCACGTGTGAGTGTGTCGTTGACCTATGTAGGCTACCTGTTCAGCATTTGCAGGGGAGAAGAGGATTTGGAAACCCGCAAAGAGGATTGCAAGAGAGAGAGAAATACAAGAGGAAAGAAAAAGGCTTACGGCAGGAGAAAGGCAAGAGAGGAGGGTGAAGGGCAGGATGCAGCAGGAGTGGGCAGAGAGTAAGGGCAGGGGATGGAAGATGGGCCCACCCACTCCATCCCCTCCCYCAGGCCACCCCCTCCCCCAGCTCCCAGGGAGGAAATTAGGAGACCACTGATGAGGTGTTTGGGTCATTTCCACATGCTTTATTCCAGCAATCAAAATAATTAAAAACATCTCAAATTATTATACACATACAAAATAGGTACAGAGTCTCGTTTCCTCCCTTGCTTCCTCCCACCCTAGAGGGAAAAACTGTTTTGTGCTTTGGGAAGTTGTGCTCTGAAACCCGGATGCAGGACAGACCAGTGGAGAGGTGGGGAGGATGGGGCATGGCTGCAGAAGGGGGAGGGTTTCAGAGGAGGGACAGGTCAGAGAGCAGCAGACCCAGAAGCCAGTGGAGAGAAGGCGAGAGGGAGCAGGCTGGAGCCTGGCGCTCTCTCCCTCCGTGTTAAATAGCACCGTCAGAAAAAAAAAAAAAAATTCACATGAGTCCCCATCCACAAAAAAAGAAAAGGAAAAGAAAAAGAATGAAAACAAAGAATTAAAAAAGACTGAGCCAAAGGAATATTTGCTGGTCTAGGAGGCATCTCAACTTCTATAGCACCAGAGATTCCTTCCCCACCCCACCCCATCACATAGATGTAGCACCTTTGATATAAAATGGGGAGCTGCTGCCGCCCTGCCCCCATCCCTGTCCCCACACAGTTGCCCCGGTGACACAAAGACAAGAACGAGGTAGTCTTTCAGCAACACAGTTACAAGGAACAGAACAATCTCTCCCACCCAGCCCTGCGCGCAMGCGTC